GAGGGGGGGGGGGGGGGGGGGGGGGGGGGGGGGGGGGGGGGGGGGGGGGGGGGGGGGGGGGGGAGTAAGGCTCGTGGTGGAGAGGGGCGACGGGGATGTGGAAAAAAGTTTCCTTTAACCTTAACTTCAGGTCCGGCTCCTCCTAGATCCGCTTGTGAACAACAGTCATATACAGGGAACAGACGATGATACCAAAGATCGAAGGGCCTGGCACAGCTGCGTTTGAAGTGTAGAAGCAACTCTGCAACACTACTAACATGGGACTCCAACGCTACTTCCTCACAGAGCGGTTTTATTGGTTTTGATAAATTCTTTTTTTTTTTAAAAAAAACAAACATAATAAAAGCAATCATAAAGGAAGCCGGCATAATCAGATATTCAGAAACTATTAAGTTCAGAAACTATTAAATGTATGTGTAGAATTTAAAGACTAGAACTAAGTACCAGACTGAGACAGTGAGGGGGGGGGGGCGAAAATTCGTTCCCCTTCCCCGCCCTTTAACTTTACCACTCTCCTCACACTCCCCATCGCCCCACCCTTCCCCCTGCCCCCACTTCTTCAGCAGTCCGTCTTGCACCCGTCTATAGATAAGTTGAAATACAAAAGAACATACAGAACAAACATCGCATGATTCGGGAATTATTACTCGTCTCGCTGTTCGCGTAAGACCATTTTCGGAGACGAATTCAAATCCTTCGTGAAACATCAGAATATCTCCTGCAAAAAAAAAGAAAGTGATAAAAATACGACATAATTTCCCCAAAAACAGTTTCTTAAGCAAAATAATGAATTTAAACCAATTAAAACAATTTTCTTTTTCCTTAAAAATCAAAATTCATTCGCAAAAAAATCGCAAAAATCAAAATTCGCAAAATTCATGCGACAGTAACGATAATCTGGAAAGGACGTAGATAAGTCTTACTGAATTGAAAAGTAACTTGAAAGTAGATAAAGTTCTAATTATGCTAAAAATCATCGACATATTAAAAAGGCAAAAAAAAAAAATAAAAGTGCTGTCGGTTTTTTTTTCGAAAATTAAGATGTGGTATAATGCAACAAATCGTTTTTTTTTTCATCAAGAATTTGAAAAACTAAGTAAGCGACGTAGGAAACAATACATCACGATTCTTTTTCGAAAAAGCAAAAACACAAGCACTACGGGATAAAAGTGAAGATCGGTAATGACCATGATATGATGCAGCACTGACCGCAAAAAGCAACAGGAAAGTGAAAATCACTATTATTATCGTCGTTATTACTGTTTTTATTATTGCTATTATTATAATTGTTTCTATTATTAATGTTGTTAAAATAGTGATTTCATTAAAATAGTGATTTTTTCTTATTATTAAAACAGTAACTTTGTTCTAATCAAAAGCTACGGCGGCAGATCAAAGCATGTTAAAATCACAAGAAATCTTATACAAAAAGATATGCTCAAAAATTTACCATGTTTTAGGATTCGTTGCCAGTTTTCATCGCACGGATCACAGCACGGTCCCAAATCGATTGCTTCTGGACCAAAAATATAGCGAAAACCGCTTGTTGAGCAAACAATCTCTCCATGCCCGTCCACAAAACCAAAAAAACGACCCGAACGGAAGGTACTTTCGGGGAACTCCCTAACTGCTAGTTCACTGGCATTCGTAGGTAGATCCCGCATCACTGCAACATACACTTCCCAATGTATCTCTAATAAATAAATCTTTAATGTCTCTAATAATAATAACAGTAATAATAACAATAATAATAATAGTAATAACAATAACAACGATAATAATGACAGTAATAATAACGACAATAATAACAATAATAATAACAATAACAATAATAATAACAACAATAATAATAACAATAATAATAATAACGATAATGATAATAACAATAATAATAATAACAACAAT